ACTTTGGGGCCAATCTCACTTCAATACCCAAATTTCAAAACGAGCCAGTGTGCCACTATAGTACCTGAGTTCCCGAAAACTGCCAATTTAGTATCTGCCATTAGTAGTATGCCAGTTATCTGTATCACATGACAGCATGTGCAACTTAAACTTTTTAAAATACCAAACTACCCTTTTTAATAATTTTGAGACATTTTTACTTTGATTATCTTCCTTGATGACAGCAAGAATTACCCATCTTCTCCAACGGGAAGTACTGATTCTTTAGCAGAAAGGTTAGGGCATAAAATAAACAGTGGGGCCCAATCACAGTGAAAAGGGATTTAAACATGGCTATTTTGGCCATTCCAAAATTATGCTTCTCTCGCCTATTCAAAACAGAGGGTATTTGTGTCCTTTCGCATGCCGTCTAACGTCGGTTAATGATTTTGGACTGAACTGGAAGTTTTTGAGAGTTCAGGCACTGCAGTGGCACATTTTGAAGTTTGGGTACAAAAGTGAAACTAACCCGAAGTACAGGGTATTAATCTGCAATTTATCCTAAAAACTATTTCCCTTGGAAAAAGTCTTAATTTGCATATTTGTATAGTATTATATAAAAAGAACATCAGAAAAATTATGAAAACATCAAATCAAAATAACGGGGTAACAGTATCCATGAAAGAAAAAAAAAAAAAAAAAAAGCAGTTGAACTCAGGTCTAGAAACAGGTGCTCAAAAAGTGTAATCTAATTATTGACCAAAAATAAACTACTATAATTTCATAGAAAAAGAAATCTTCAAAATTTGAAGAAAACTAATATACTTACTTCTACAGGAACAAATTTATAGCACAACGATTAGAAGTGAAACTGCTGAACAAAAGAAAAAATGACATCAAAAGCATAAATCAGAAGATACATGGTAGCTAATCTAACTAAAGCAATGATGGTATACATAGTAGCTAATCTAACTAAAGCAATGAAGATACAAATTTATGGCACAACGATTAGAAGTGAAGCTGCACAAATCAGAAGATACATATGCAAAACATAAAGTAACTAATCTAACTAAAGCAATGACGGTATTAAGCTGGATAGGTCACAAGATGGGTACCTCCCTGTAATTTTACCTAATAATAAGAATGGACATTGCCAAAATAAAATGAAGACTACTAGCAACTAAATAAAAATTTCAGTTAAACTTACCAAAATAAAATCAACTTTTGTGCTATCATGGCATAGCTGAAAAAACATAAATACTAGGAATACTATTGGCACCAGATGTGATTCAGACCAATAAAATTAGCAGAAATATTTAGATTAGAGCAGAAGGAAAGAAGGAAAGGAAGACAACAAGAAGAAAAAGGAAAAATGGAGAAGAAAGGAGAAAGAAAGGAGGACTTCAATAATCTCCTCTTTCCCCTACTCTAATCTTTTTATTAAACTACTTAAGTTACATAATTTACAAGGAGGCCCTTAAGTAGGCATCCACATCAGCAATACACTTAAAAAACAAAACAGAAGCTAAAGGCCCGTAAAGAAAGAAGGCCCAATAAGAAAACATAATAAGAAGGAACTAATAAGAATGACACAAAAGGACTAGGGCCCATTTGGCCCAGCCTCTCTACACTCCCCCTCAAGCTTAGCATAGATATTAATCATGCCCAGCTTGTTTATATAGTGAACTAGCTTTCCTTTAGGAACACCTTTTGTCAAAACATCAGCCCTGTTCTTCAGAAGCAACAAATGGTAGGCAGACTTCTCCTGAGGCAACTCTCTCTCGTATAAAATGCCTATCAACTTCAATGTGCTTAGTTCTGTCATGTTGAATAGGATTATGTGCAATGTTGATAGCAACCTGGTTGTAATAATTTAACATCATTGGCTTCTCACAGTCTACACCCAGTTCTTCTAAAAGTGATCTCAACCACAAAAGTTCAAAAACTCCATGTGCCATTGCCCTGTACTCCGCTTCAGCTGAAGATCTTGCCACTACAAACTGTTTCTTACTCCTCCATGATACAATGTTCCCTACTACCATAGCACAATAACCTGAAGTGGACCTCCTATCATCAAGACATCCGGCCCAGTCAGCATCAGTGTATGCTTCCTGCTTCATGTGTCCATGCTTAGCAAACTAGATACCTTTCCCTGGAGTCCCATTTAGGTAGCACAGAGCCCTCTCAGCAGCTGCTAAATGTCTTTCTCTGGGAGAATGCATAAACTGGCTAATTACACTAACTACATAGAAAATATCTGGTCAAGTCATACAAAGGTATAATAACTTCCCAACCAGTCTCTGGAACACTCCCTTATCAGGCAACAGTTCACCCTCAATAGCTGACAGCTTATGATTTAGGTCTATAAGAGTAGAAGCAAGCCAGGCACCCAGTTTACCAGTATTTGCAAAAAGATCAAGAACATACTTCCATTGAGAAATAAAGAGACCATCCTTAGATCTGGCAACTTCAATTCCCAAGAAATATCTGAGTTCCCCCAAGTCTTTAATTTCAAACTCAGTGTTAAGAAAACTTTTGAGATGAACAACTTCCTGGGTGTCATTACCAGTAACCACAATATCATCAACATAGACAATCAGAAGGGTCAGTAAGGAATCTCTCCTCTTAACAAACAAGGTATGATCCAACTGAGTCTGTGTACCCAAAAGCAACAAGAGCAGCCCGAAATTTGTCAAACTAGGCTCGAGGAGATTGCTTAAGGCCATAAAGGGACTTTTTCAGTTTACAAACCTTTCCTTACATCTCCTTCCCATACACCCCTTGAGGTAAAGACATACAAACTTCTTCATGTAGGTCCCCATTCAATAAAACATTCTTTACATCAAACTGATGAAGAGGCCAATTAAAAGCAGTAGCTAAAGAGAGCAAAACTCGAACTGAATTCATCTTGGCTACTGGGGCAAAAGTTTCCAAGTAGTCAGTACCATACATCCAAGTATACCCTTTAGCAACCAAACAAGCCTTATATCTCTCAATAGTACCATTAGAATGATACTTAATAGTGAACACCCACTTACAGCAAGTATATCCCATTCGCCTCATGGCCACTCCCAATCATCCACTGAGACTTCAGGTCTTGAAAAACACAACAAGTAGTAAAGAAGGTTATGTTGCAGTTCATTGATTTTGTTAAACTACAACAGATAAAAGGTTAGTACTGAGTTTGGGAACATGAAGGACAGAGGATAATACAAGTGAGTTAGAGGCTCTAACATCCCCCTTGCCAGAGATGGGAGCAAGAGACCCATTGGCAAGATAAATCTTCTCTCTTCCTGAGAGGAGCTGGTATGAACAAAAAAGTTTGGGTAAGCTAGTCATATGGTCTAATGCACCATAATCTATAATCCAAGGAGTTCTACGATTACCTAAGGTTGTAGTATGATTTGCAGAAGCACGAATACCTGAATGGGCAAAGGCATGTAGAGGGGGTGCCTGAGGAGGAAGATGCAACAGTAGACTCCAAGTGATGTATCAACTTCCCATATCTCTCAAATTCTGCCTTCACTGCTGTCAGTTGTTCCACAACAGATTTTTCTTCACTTTTAGATATTGTAACAACATTTGCATTCTTGGGCTTTTCAGACTGACCACCCTTCTTAAAATTGTTGTTGTTTCGAAACCTTTTTGGAAGAAGATCCGGATGAAGTTTCCAACAAGAATCCTTAGTATGTTTCGGCTTCTTGTAATATTCACATATCACCTCATTTTTTTCATTTACCCCCTTTGGTTTTAATCCAGCATGTGCAAAATGTTTTGGGGGAGGTGGGGTCTGTAGTTGTACTTGTCTCCTGCTCTCTTCACTGCTCACCATAGAGTATGCTTGAACAAGTGACACTTCATCCTTGGCCAGAATATTTTGCCTTGTAATATCAAATTCAGGATTGAATCCTGTAAGGAATTCAAACATTGTTTCTTTCCACAAATTTTCTGAAAATTCCTACATCTTTGGTGCTTTCCCATACGAATGCTTCCATTACATCTATCTCCTACCAATAGTGACTTCAGCATCGAATAGTAGACAGCCACACTTTTCTCCCCCTGTTTTAAAATTTTCACATCATTCTTTAGTTTGTATGCCCTTGCAACATTTAATTTCAAAAAGTATGTTTCTGTAACACTATCCCAAATCTCCTTGGTTGAAGTCATCCACAAATAGTGTTGACTTATGTGGAGCTGCATAGAATTTACCAACCACCCAATAACTGTGTAATTATCTTGCATCCATTTCTCATATGTAGGATCAGTCTCTTCCGGCATCACCTTACTACCCGTGAGAAACCCTAATTTGCCTCTACTATAGACATGGATCTTAATAGATTGTGCCCAAGCAAGGTAATTTGTTCCGTCAAGTTTAATTGTAGTCACTCCTGTCAAAATGGAATCTACGGGACCAACCCCCAACACTGGGATCTGCTTCATCTCACTTCCATATTGCTCCATCAATCAAACAAAAATCAAAAAACAATGTTTTCAACCTTTATAGACCTAACTAAGGTCAATCAAACACTCAAAAGTCCCAAAACTAGAGTTTCACCATACCTAGCCTCCGGGCAAAAAGAGAGAAGTGGTAGCCGCTCAAACCAGAGCAATCCAAACCACTTCCAACTGCAGCCGCCCACTTTTGGAGATAAAAAGAAACCCTCCAAGCCTTGAGCACCACACCCAAACAACCTCTTCAACCCGTAACTAGAAACTCTCTAGTCAACTAGGGTTTTGAGAAAAAAATCTGCAGTCCCACTTTCTTGGCAATCTTCGGCCAGCTTCTAACTCTCCAAACCCTCTACCAACTAGGCAAACAAGATCTCTGATTGATCAGCAATTTATCTCTCCATACACCTTTCGATTAGAAAAAAAGTGTATGGGAAAAAAAAGAAAAAAAATGAAAAAGCGAAGGACCTGCTCTGATACCAAGATGTGATTCAGACCAATAAAATTAACAGAAATATTTAGATTAGAGTAGAAAGAAGGAAGAAGAGGAAGACAACAAGAAGATGAAGGAAAAATGGAGAAGAAAGGAGAAAGAAAGGAGGAGTTCGATAATCACATCTTTCCCCTACTCTAATCTTTTTATTAAATTTACTTAAGTTACATAATTTACAAGGAGGCCCTTAAGTAGGCATCCACATCAGCAATACACTTAAAAAACAAAACAGAAGCTAAAGGCCCATAAAGAAAGAAGGCCCAATAAGAAAATATAACAAGAAGGAACTTATAAGAATGACACTAAAGGATTAGGGCCCATTCGGCCCAGTCTCTCTACAGCACCAATCAATAGATGTAAAGGTGCAAGGCTCCATTCAAAAGTTTGCATTTCCATGCTTGTATATGAACTGCAAAATGGAATAAAAAACTCCTCAGGATGATTTTCTTGCTTGTATGTGAACCGCAATCTAGTAAACATCTGTTCAGATGAAACATATACAAATTAAAGTGAAAATATAAAATAAATATACACAAATAAAATTTCCCCCACACGTTGATGATCTCTAAAATGAAAGTGAAAATGGATTTCCACCTTCATCCTTTCACCTTGCCAGGATTGACAATTGATGATTATAACTTGGAGGACTTTCCATACTGACCATTCAGAATCCATTTTCTGGGAATCCATGCAACTATTAAAGAAATCTAACACCTACATAGGTAGAATATCACCATAAAATCAGTTGCACTATAAGCATAAGATATGCAAGAAATGGAGAAATCTTCAATCTTCAGGAGAAATTGCCTAGAGTAATTTCACTGATTTATTTTAAGATGTTGGATTCTATTCTTTGTTAAGCACCATATTAAGTAACCGATCACCATTGTATTTTTTTCTTTTTTTGATCAATAACAACAGATTTCATTAAATAGGAATAAGCTTACAAAGTAGAGGAGCTAAAGTGTCTTAACTCCACAAGTAAGTGGGCAGGCACCCAAAAAGAAAAGAACAATTACAACTGAGCCCAGAAAACAGAATCCCTATTCACCTTTTTCCTAGCTAATCCATCTGCAAAGGAATTTGCATTTCTCTTTACACAAATACATTGAACTTCGATGTCCATGGTCAGCCACTTGAATTTTCTCTTTTCATTGCTGTAGCTCCAAATCCTAGAGGTGTCTTCTTTTAGCCAGCTCACTACAGTCTCAGAATCTCCTTCTATAATCAGTTTATTGACATTCAGGAGGTCCTTAGCCCTTTGTACCCCTTCCAAAGTTGCTAACACCTCAGCCCTCAAAGAGTCTCTCTCTTAGAGAACATAGCTATTACACTCCCTTTCTCGTCTCTTAGCACCCCCCAATACCCAAAGGCCCTGGATTTCCCATACTGCTGCCAGCAAAATTCAGTTTGATAAATCCAAGAGGTAGTGGGTTCCAGTTGGAATTCGAGGTCTTCTTAACTGAGGCTAAACTTGCAATTTCTTTCCATTTTCTTAACAGATCATCTGTTGAAAAATCTGTGAACAAATCCAATGTTTTCAACCAATGTATTATCTTATATGGATCACTTATAGCACGGCTTCCAGACTTCTCTCCTTTTTCTGAAAAAAAATCCTTGAATTTCTTTCTTCCCATATACTCCAGTAAACAGCAGCTCTAATACATCACCACATGATCCTTGCCCTTTTTTTGGGTAGTGTAAATGTTTTCAAGCAGCTTATTAAAGTGTGGGTGATTCTTGAAAGGCTAAAAGACCTCACGGTGCATTATTGCATAAACAACCTGCAATTAGAGAAATAAGAGATTCATAAAAGTAAGCATATCCTTATATTTAATTTGGAATATCAATCATTACAATATCCATGGGTGATATCTCAGGATTTCAAGGTAAAGGCATATCTAAGGATGGCATTCAAGATTTCAGTACAATTCTTAGGAAGTCGGTATAAATGTAAAGCTCTGTCGACTGCACCCAATATTTTTAGCTAGAAGAAGAAATAATAGGAAGGAAATGGCAAAAAATAAAATTTCTAAGACCAAAGCATTTATAGAAAGACTAAAAGAAACTACCATATCTTCCGCAATGCTACCTCCTACTGAATTGGCTTTAGCTATTAGTATCTTATTGTTTCTTAGTTCTGCTAATTTGGTATACCCGGATGGTTGAAACTTTAAACCCAGTAAAACAAAGTTACATTGCATTTTCACACAAAATAAAACGTGTCATATAAAAAACGGACTCAACCTATGAACATGTGGTGCCACTGCCATGTTTGCCAAAGTTGCAAGACAATTTGTGTGGAGGTATACATGCCATTAACAATTTTACAGGTCAACAGAATATAGATCATAAATTTAACTCTGCTGATGTGTAATTGATTATGAAATCTGCTGACAAGTTCTGTGGCTCAAACTGAAATCCATGCTGCATTCCATAACATGTAAGTGGTAAAATTCAGAAAGATTAGGGGAAGGGGAATAAAAAGAAAGCATCAATGTTCAAGCATCCTGCTACAACATTCCAAGAAAACTGGAAGATACATGAAAAAATCAGCTTCGATGGATGTCATACCCACAGCTTAGGTTATTCTTGACGGTCCTTATGGATATTATAACCATTAGAGAACCAAGAGATGTGTGATTGAGGAGGTTTTCTCGTCACCATGGAATATTAGGCAGCATCTATAAAAACGTGGAAATTATAAGCAGAATCTGATATATGTGCATTCTGAGCTTATGGAGGCCATTGTTACCATCTTGTGATACTGTCACTGAAAGATGAATTCTTAGTATGAGAAGAATAATTAGCAACATGTAGATTTGATTAGATGTCCTCAAAGCATTATAAAATGTTTCAAGAACAGGCATCAGATGTTGACTCCATTACCATGGAAAACATACTCCAAATTAGTCAAGACACCCATTCAAGGTTCAAAGTAGGGCGTATCGGCCTGTATCAGTACTTTTTTCTAGGTTTATTTTTTTTCGAAACTGGCTCAGAGGGGTCGGTTTAAGGCCCGGCTACTCTCTGAACTAGTGTCTGACCCAATACAACCCCTGGAGGGGTGTATCGGGAAGCCATCGGCACGATACGTATCGGCCAATATGGGCCAATACGTATCGATACTTCGAACCTTGCTCCCATTAACTTCAGAAGTTATTTTGCAGGTAAGGGATATCCTCAGAATGACTAATCTCAAGGATAATTGAAAAGTGAAATGATCCAAAATCATGGCCAATAATGGAAACAGTTCTTGAGATCTTTCTTTTTTTTTTTTTTTGCAGAAGATCTGGAGTGATTCAAAGACGGAAAATTACAGTCAACAATTCCATAGTCCATACCAATGTGTCCAAATCAGTTCACACCAAAACATACTCCAAAAAATCAGCGTTACCATGCACCAACGAGTACAGCAGCAGAACAGAGCTCTCCTCAGCCAAGTACCTATAGAACCAAAAATTTTAGGTAATCAGAAGACCCATTGCAAGGCAGAAGAAATCCATGGGGCATGTTGTAAAAAATACGAGGGAAAGGGGTTTTGGACTTTTTGTTTTCATTTTTTACAGATTAATTTATTTATTAAAGACACAGATACTCAAAGTACATGGGTGTCAAAAGAAGAAGCAAAAGGCAATCTCACAAATGGTCCACTATGTGCCTTCCCCTCAATATCGACATGATCAACTTCATGTAGAGATTCATTTGCACAAAAGAAAAGTGATCTTACACTCAATATCTTGAGCATTTTCTAAGGCCTTCTAATAAGGGTTGTCATACAAATATGAAATTTCTTTCAAAAGAGAACTTAAGTGGCATTCTCTCTCTCTCTCTCTTATATATATATATATATATATCAATGTTTTAAAAGCGCAAGGCGAGGCGTGCGCCTTTTTAAGAAAGGCACAAAATTACAAAAAAAAAACTAAAAAATAAAAAAAGGTCAGGAAATTCCAAAAAATGCCAAAAAATAAAAAAAAAAAGCAAAAAATTTAAAAATATTAAACATAATGTTAATAAAAATATAAACTTAAATTTTAAAATAAATTATTTAAAAAACCTATTATCTAAAATTAAAATACATAAACATAACATGTAAAATGTATTCAAATGAAAATTTAAAAATAAAAGCAAACATATAAAGCATTTTCAAGCATGTTAAACCCACAATCCAAGCCAGTTCCAACATTTTCTTAAAAAGAAATTAAAGTTATAAAATCATTATTTTCTATGTGAGAAATAAGAATTTTAGACCCTAACATAGACTTGTTCGGGCTTGCCTTGAGGGGCGTGGTCGGGGGTCCGAGGGCAGAGCCCCCGGCCCAGCCGTTAGACTAAAAAAAAAAAGCAAAAAGTGCAAAATTTTAAAAAGGCACACGCCTGGGCTGAGGCGCATCAAGCACACGCCTAGACGCACCAGGTGCGCGCCTTTTGAAAAAGGTGCGCCTGGGACCTAGGCGAGGCATATACCCCAAAATGCGCCTTGCTTGTGCGCCTAGGCGCACCTTTTAAATTACTGATATTATATATATATATATATATCAATGAACTTAAGTGCACTATAAAAAAGGCCATTACCCAATGTTTGGCCCCAGATGTCTGGGGTCTTAATGGAGGTAGATTGGATATGATCCTAACCTTTTGCATCCTCACGCTTATAAGCCTGAGATTTTACAATTACACCAAGCAATGGCACCCTTATATTGTTGAGTGACACCATCTTCACTTTTATCTGTTGTCAACACATCTTTGCTAACACATTTTTAGAAGTGAATGAGAATAAGCAAAAGAAGAAAACAGCTCTCCACCAAATTGACTTCTAGAGCCATCGCAACTGGTACCAATAAAGTAATTGAATGGAAACAATATGAAATTTTCTACAAGCCAAAGATAGGAGAGATGCGAAAAAATTTGACTAGGGATTTATCAAAAAATATTTGACTAGGGAAAGAACCATAAATTTAACACCAAGGTTCAAGACCCCATGGGAAAACTGCTCAAAGGGCATCATGTCTGAGTAGTGCTTACAACTTCTATGCAAATAAGCGGTCAATGGGTAGATACAGCTAGATTGAGGAACCATCATTCTAATCTGATAGGATTTTGTCAAAAGCTTGGTGAACTCGGTTAACTTGGCTCCATGCCACTCATTAATTCAGAGTAGGACTAACTCCATGACCATGGGTCGAAGAAGGCCACTACATACCCTTTCATTGCCCACAAAAGGGCTTAGTGTGGGACTTGGGGCTCAGAAGAGGTCTAAGGGATTTTTGAGACCCTAATGGCATTATCTCTTATTGATTATGTCAAGGGTTTTTATCTGGATACTTCCATAAGGATGTACCTAATAAGACTTTTATTTTTTAATTTTGGGGGAGTTAAGAGAGTTTATCTCCCCTGCCTTGTACCTATCCTTTTATCTTTAATGAATTGATTCTATTACTAATCAAAAAATAAATAAATAAATAAGGATGTCCACCTGAAGGAACAATTCAGATTAGAAGATAATCCCTATGTTTCTCCAAGGAACTAAGGACCCAAGAGCCATCTGTTCTTGTTAAAACCCAGCCTATCACCACCAATGTTTTAAAAGCGCAAGGCACAAAAAAGGTGCAAGGGCCAATTTGCACCCGAGGCGCAAGGCGAGGCACACACCTTTTTGAAGCAAGGTGCGGAAGTACAAAAAAATGCTAAAAAATAAAGTCAGAAAATTCAAAAAAAAATGCCAAAAAATAAAAAAATGTTAAGCATAATATTAATAAAAAAATATAAACTTAAATTTTAAAATAAATGTTTTAAAATAAACTATTGTCTAAATTTAAAATACACAAACATAACATGTAAAGCATATTCAAATGAGAATCTAAAAATAAAATCAAACATATAAAACATTTTCAAGCATGTAAAACACACAATCTCTTTTTTTCCTCATTTACAATACTTCAAGTAGCTAATGTGATGTAAAACATATTACATTCCTGGTTCTACAAGCCGCCTTTGTGCCATGCCCCTCGAGGCAAGCCCAAACAAGTCCTTGTTAGGGTCTTAAATTCTTAGTTCTCACACAAAAAATAATGATTTTATAATTTTAATTGCTTTTATAATTTTCCAAGAACCCCCAATTTGCTAATGTTGTTCATTAATAAAATATCTTCTTAAAAAGCAATTAAAACTATAAAATCATTATTTTTTGTGTGAGAACTAAGAATTTAAGACCCAAACATGGACTTGTTTGGGCTTACCTCGAGGGGTGTGGCATGGGGGGTCCAGGAGCGGAGCCCCCAGCCATAGTTGTCAAGGCGACGCCTAGGCGACAAGGCGCCCTTGGAGTCTCGCCTCGCCTAATCGCCAAGCAGTTTTCTATAGCGTGTTATAACAAACTTTTATATTCTTAAATTTTTGAGGTTATAATTATAAAATAGACATTTTTAAACTAAAATATTCATTTTATGTGCTTAAGCCCCTATATTTTTCAAAATTTCTTTTCTTTCTTCTTTTTCTTCTCATGAATATGTTGGAATATGTTGATTTTCTATACTTTAACATGAACTTTATACTTTTCTTATGAAAATTATGGATATTTATTAAGGAAATATGATTATGGAACTTAGGGAACTACCCTAGGATACATGTTTTTACTTAAAAAAAAATCCATCGCCTAGGCAACTAGGCACCCCCTTGTCTCCTAGCCTCACCTTGGCACCTTGAAAACTATGCCCTTGGCCCAGCCACTAGGTTCAAAAAAAAGCAAAAAAGAAAAAAGTGTCAAATTTTCAAAAGGCACACGCTTGGGCTGAGGCACAAAGTGCATCAGGCACACCAGGAGTGTTCCTAGGACCTAGGTGAGGCGTATACCCTAAAATGTGCCTCGCCTGTGCACCCAGGCGCGCCTTTTAAATCACTGGTCACCACTTCACATAATGCTTCTACCAACAGTTCATTCCACCCTGATGAATGGGTCAGTTTTGATCACTAAAATTGGGCAAGGAGTTCAACCCTCAAAGAATTTTCTTTGATAGATGACCTTTAAAAACTAAGAATAATGTTGCCAAGGTGGTAATGCTTCCTCTTGCATCCATATAGGGGCAAAGCTAGCCAGAGAAGGCCGTTCACCCAAAATAGAATCACTGCAAATCCTTTAAAATACTCCCTTGTAAGGACCCAATGAGCTACATAGACCAAAACTCCTTTCCCTTTTCTTTTTGAGGCTTCCAGCACATATATTCTATGTATGTCTCCATAAACCATATTTGCTTATTTTGTTGCCTGGCCAACTCTTTCCTATGGAATTCTTTTCTTCTCTCTTTTAGATATCTTAGTCATGTTCATCTACCTTGATGAATGTGGCCTAATGTATCAATTGGTAGTAGGGGTCTATCCTTTGCTTGGTGGTTCCATACGTAATAGTTCCATTGTGTATCTTTCATGTGGATTACCTTCATTTTCCAGGTATAGGGATTTTGTTTATAATTAGATGAATGTTTTTGGTATAGAGGGTGGTTCGCTATAAAGATCTTTGGCGAAGGGCTTTTTCTTCACATATATTTCTATACATATTTATTTACATATCAATAAATTTTTATATTACTTATTAAAAGATTAAAAAAGAACCCAATCAGATAATGGCATCCCAACTTTTTGCAGCCCAAAGAGGATGAAGGGAAAATAAATCCAAAAGTACTGTCTAATATCAGATAGTTAGCCAAGTCAGAGTCAGTTACACTTTCACGTCATATGTTGAGAAAAGGGAGGGAAGGAAGCATTCTACTGCATTGATGAAAGTATAACTCCTATAACCTATGTGGCTATACCTAGTAGACCCATTTCACTAGATAATCTTCCCATTACAAGTACTCAAATTAAAGGAGTGAATTCCATATACTGAATAGAACTAATGGATCTTTTAGAAAAAGGGAGAGCAGGAAGTTTATACCGCATTGATAGCTTCTGTTACCTATGTGGCTATACCTAGTAGACCTTTTCACTGGATCCGGATGATAATCTTTTCATTACAAGTAATCAGTAATCACATTAAATTGATAAATCCCATTCAATAAACAGAATTACTGGATCTTTTACACCACAAGTATATCTAATCTGACTGATTATCCCATTAGAAGAAAAGGAAAATAATCCAGAGAAAAGTCTAACAGCAGAAAGTTGGAACATCAGATCACCAAAGGGGGACAAAAAATATCTTTTACTTCCACGATGCAAATATTCCACTTGTTGCCTACCCCTAACAAACAAATTTTACTGAATAATGATCTTTCCATCACTACTATTCACATGAAAATGGTCTTGGTGAATATTTGTAATTAACAAATCACTAAAATTACCCCTTGGATGTTTTCTGTTGCTACTTCACCTCCATCCAGTGTACGATAAAATTCATTGAAATTATCACTTTTAGAATTGTCTACCAAATATTTTAGAAATACAGATGATGGGTGTGCTGCATTTACAGCCTTTGTATATACTATCAATGGCCCAGCAGAAGTTGACAAGGGTTCTTGCAGACACCCCACTAGATGGATCAAACCCATTGCAAGATGCCTTGTGTGATGATTGTTCTGTGATGCAAAAGAAATAAACCAGCAGATATAATGAGAGCTCCTACTGCAATGGTTGGTTTAAAAAGAATACTTTAAGAAAAGTTAAAAGAAAAAATCATGTTGATAAACTAGGCTAAATAAATACCACCATGGTAACATAAACTATAAGAGGCATCAGAAACAATGCCATCAACAAATTCCAAAAATAAATAAATAAATAAGCAATCAAAACCTCATTAGCAGAGAGAACTACTTTGATGTTCTGCAGAACAAAACCTACAGAATAAAATAATATCTGCAACCAGCCAACCACATCTTCTAGCATCAGGTTTTGCTCAACCTGTCTTTGGAGATAAAATACATAATCAAGATTACCTCCTCCACCCAACCCCCAAAATATCCAATGTAGGAAACAGATTAAAAGACCCTATGTCCTAACAGAAACCTTTAGTTATTTTTTGTGTAAGTATGGAGATGTACAAAAAAGGGTTGCAATGGCCAATATGTACCACCCTCTTTAGTCTTAACCTATGTATTCCATATGAAAAATTATATGCACTTGCAAACATACGACTAAAAGACCTGCCATTTCAGTCCAAAAAATTATGTCTGTCCTCTCAGACATTCCAAGAAACTACAAAATGGGCAATATTCCAAAAGAATATAACCCTAAAAGGCAGAGATAACTATAGCCAAGAGGCATTTTCTGCACAAATTTAGGAGAGAAAAGACCACCAAGAGCCAAAAAATGACAACTCCAATGTCAGAAGTCCTGTGTGAAAATTGGGAGAAGATGGTTGACTGATCCTGAGCAAATTTACACATAATATATCTGTTTGGAATCCAAACTCCTATGTCAGTCCACTAGCAATGACTAGTTGAAGCCCTTTATTTTGATAATTAAAAATAATTTTTTATTAGTAATTGTAAAGCTTTTATTAATTTCCCCCAATAATGAGTGTCAAACAAGTTAACAACTACCTTATTTTTGATAGATAAGTTAACAATTACTTTATTGATTTATGAAAAAAAATGTAATGTACAAAGGAGGAACATGTTAGGCTGGCCTTCACCACCTAGCCCCAATTCTTTTACAGATTCGTTTTCCTATATCCACCATTTGTTACCCCCTAACATTTATTCCCTATTTGCCTCTTGTTTAGAAAGAGAATATGCCATGCCATTTGATCTCTGTGTCCAAGTAATAGATAATAACCCTCTCTCACTGATTATCTGCTTGATTCCCTCATTATATGTCTATACTGCCACATGCCTTGGGTGTTGTATGACTAATTGAAGATTTGATAACACTGCTTATATGCATAGAAGACCACATACTGCTTTAGTCATCATCATCTAATCCTTGTCCAACTATATGGGGTCGACTACATGAATCCTCTTTCGCCATTCTTTTTTGGTCTGCCCCCAGTTCTTATAGCCCCTTCAACTTGTAACAGATCATTTCTTTTTTACTAACAGGTTCTGTAGATGGTCTTCTATGCACATAAGCAAATCATCTCAGTCTACTTWCTTTCATTCTATCATCTATTTGAGCTACTCCTAGGTTCCTTCATATGACACCTTGTCCTTTCTAGTTTTACCACTCATCCATCTAAGCATTCGAA